CACACACACACAGAGTGATTTTAACATATTTCGTCACTCATCATGAGCAGGTAGAGTGAATCAAACTCAGTCGAAAGTTGCAATTTTCCATTATCTACCATTTTGCAATTTTCGCAACAGTTAACAAAATATTAATTACTAAATAAAAATTACCAAATATTGGTCTTGAATAATTTTTTACTCAAATATTATTATAATACTAATATTTCAACTTTATAGAAAAGCTGCAAGAGATAAAAATCATTTATTTTCTTCTCATAAAGTTCTGAGAATTTTTTCAGAATTTTTTCAGAATTTTTTAATATCATATTTTCTCATGTTGGTAAAAATAAAAAAATGCAGTACTAAAAAGTTGATACAAAATTCTGAAAAAATTTTTAGAATTCTGATGTATTTCTGTGCCAACGTAAGTAAACATAAATAAAAAGAAAAAGCTAATTACATTATCTCAAAAGATCGGACTCTTGTAATAACGATCTGTTCGAGATTTTCAATATAACAATAAGATTGTCTTCACTTCTAATAAGCCTGAAATTTGGAATTCTATTGAAAAATGGGGATCGTTATCCTCACTCACATGCGTCTAATATATGGAAGGTGAAAAAGATTTATGCAGTATTTCAAGGTCCCATTAATTCCACCGTCCCATAATTTATTGTACATACACACAATACAATATGTTTGAATATTTTCCAGTATCTATTAAATTTCAAGATTTAAATAATATATATTCACTTTTGTTGTAAAAAAAATAGATAAAAAATATATCTGTGATAAATCTTGTTTTATTATAAAGGGAACATTCTCAGATATTACGTTAGTTTCAGATATTACATTACTACTCTTAGTGTTTAAATATGTACTTTTTGAATTTAAAGCTTATCTTCAACGAATGTAACGGCTTTCATAATTATAATTGCAATTACGAAATTATAGAATATTATTTGATAAAACAATTTATTTAAAATGAAAATTAATTAAAAGATTGTTACTAAAAGATTAAAAGATCAAAGTTCACATCGCTATAAATTTTATATAAAACTATATATGATTCCTTAGATTTTAACATGAAATTTTAATAAAAATGTGATTATTAATTATCGTAGATTTGATTAATTTGTAAAAAGATCAGTTTTAATGAGATTATTTATTAAAAATTAACATAATATAAGATATATTGATTGTTATTTGATTAAGCTATTTTGCTTTTTTTTTTTTATTTAGTAATTCAGTAGAAGAAAATTGCAGTATTCAGAAAAAAATTTATAACGTATCAAGTATCAACTTATACTGGCAAAGATCGTTTGGAATAATGGGGAAAGTCCACGGCGTACGGTGATTGATTATCTTCGCTGACCCAGGCCGCTTGATTTTCACCCTTCTGAATAAGTTCTAACATCGCAAGTGTCACATTGTCCGTTGTTTGTCTCGAATATTTTAAGTCAATGTTATTGCTCACAGCGTTGATGGAGTCACAGACTTTATCGGCGATATTTGAGATTAACGTTGTTATTGTAACGCCCGGACACAAGATAACCACTCGCACTCCGGTCTTGTCATACATGCCTGCCAGAGATTGGCTAAATCCCAAAACAGCGAATTTCGAAGCAGAATATATTGGAAATGAATAATTTGGTTGTAATCCAAATATGGATGCAATATTCACGATTACACCGCCTTTACCACCTTTATGCTTTCCCATATAATCGAAGGCCAACATAGAGCCGCGAATTAATGCCTTGACATTGAGATCGATCGTTTCCTCCAAATATTTATCGTTTAACATACCAGCGTTGTTAATAAGAATATCAAGCCCTTCGAATGTGTCAACGATTTTCTTGAACGTCTTCTCTAAATCATCAGGCTTTGTTACATCGCAGGCAACGAAAATGGCACGGCCCTTCCCAAATTCAGTTTCCAAAGTAGCTACCGCATTCTGACCGTTTGATGTTGGCAGGTCGATCACGGCGATACTTCTTGCACTATTACGTAACAATATTTCGGCGTACTTGTAGCCTAATCCACTAGCTGCTCCAGTGATCATTACAGTTTTATTCTTTACGTCGTACATTATTCTGATTTCTTGAAATTTTTCTCCTTCTGTGAGATATGATACTTCTGCGAAATATGAATCTTTAATGAATCATAATTGATACTGTCTCTTTGCTGGTTGCTGTTTAATATTCTTTTTTATCAATTTTATCAAAAGTCCAACAATTGCAGACTTGTTGATACAGGGAAATTATCATTTTTTATTTTTAAGAAATACAGTTTATCTTAATGATAAATAGGAAAGGTTATAAATTTGAAATTTAAATGTATACGTATATATTACATGTAAGTTATAAATAACAATTACATATTATATAATTGCTGGCAATGTTGGACTTTAAAGATAGTCGATTTTTTAATTGATTTTTGATAGATAAATTAAAATCTGTAAAAAACTAATAAAATACAATTTTATATAATAGTAAAAATTTATTATTAAATCTTTCACAGCGTGTAAGAATTTTTCAGATTTTTATCAGTCTGGAACAATGTAAAAATCTATATTCAAAGACTTAGATTGCGATAAAAATTTTATATAGTTGACAGAGAGTTTAAGTGTACTCTTATTAACCTAAGCTCCCATCATCGCAAATAAAATTCGAAACTGATAAAAAAATGTAATGCTCTTTATTTACTATTTTTTTCTTTAATAAAGTTAAATTTTTTTCCTCAAACTGTTTAGTAGGAAATCATGTTAAAAATAAGATACGAATATATAGTGTTGAGCACGTTATGTATAATGGCATTTCTAAAAACGTTGCATTTTATAAATGATTTTGTTTTATTTGGGAGCAATTAAAAAGAAAAAAAATTTGGTGTACTTGATTTTGTAATATTTATATTTCTTTTAGTATGGGAGTGTCTAGTTTAATGGTAAGTTATTTTTCCTCCCTCCTCCCCTCCGTCGCTTTAAATTAGCAATTTCATGCTAAACAGTTTGAGCAAAATTTTGCAGAAAATTAGCAAATAAGAAGTACTAAATTTTTAACTGAAGAAAAATGTATCCTGAATCTTATGATCTTGTATCGCTGTAAATTCGAGCCTATCTAGTAAATTTAAATGAATACATTTCACTTTTCCAATTCGACATAAATGTAAATGTAGAAAAAATATTTCATTTCCTATTTTTGTTCATTAGTAATTCTAAAGATAGTTTGTTTCTTTAATTTTCATCGTTTTATTATCTGTAAATAAAATAATAATATATATACAAAAGATAAAATATTTAATACAAAAGATAGAAATTATTATGGATTGCTGATTACAAATATAAGATCAGACTTGCACTTGTTTAAATAAAAAAATATTTAAACAAATAAAAAGTTTTACGAATATGATGCTATGTTTAAAAAGTTATTTATTTGAATGACTCTGATGTGTACTGTATCTTTTTAAATTTTCTCTCTCATTAATGTTTATTTTATATGAAATAATTTCGAACTTATCTTACCTTAATTTCTATAAATTACCGGTATATATGTGCCATATGGCGTTATACATAATGACTTGTATAATGTATACTATACTGAAAAAAAAAATTTGTTCAACTAACTAAATATATTTAGTTGTTTGTAGATTTGGTTAATTAATAAATAAATTTTTATTTAATTGAATTCAACCATAATCTGTTAAAAAAATTATTCAATGTTAAGTAGACTACGATTAAATTCAATTAAATAAAATTTGTTGAATTAATCTTCAAATAACTAAATATATTTAGTCAGTTGAACAATTTTTTTTTCAATGTAGACATATTGTACATATATGGATTGTTATAGGGTTTTATGAGGGAACTATGCATGATTTTTTTTTTAAATCTCGGCGCTGTCTAAAAATTAAGATTTTAAGATTAAATTTTAAAACAGAAAGTGAGAACATATTGTTATATTAACGTTAAATATTAATTATTATAAATATGAATAAATGATGAATTCAATCACAATATCATTGTTTACTTAAAAAATGGATAATTTCATAATTGATTTGATAACCTTTGTGTAAATTGAACAAAACAACATAAAGTAAGTTATCAAATATTAATTTATACAGATAAAGATCTTAGAATAATGAAGAAAATCCACAGCGTATGGCGATTGATCACGTTCGCTGACCCAAATCACTCCATTTTTACTTTTCTGAATGAGATCTAAAATCGCAAGTGACACTTTGTTTACTGTTTGTTTCTGATATTTATCCAAATTAGCAGCATCATTTTCTAACATAGTGCGAACGGAGTTACAGATCTTATCACTGATGCTTGTGATCAAGTTGTTGTAACATCTGGGTACATAATAACCATTCGCACTCCAGTCTTGTCATACATATTTGCCAGAGACTGGCTGAATCCCAGAATGGCGTATTTCGAAGCATAATATATTGGAACAAAACAAGTTGATGTCAATCCGGTAATAGATGCAATGTTTATATAATTACATCTCCTTTGCTATCTTTATGCTTTCCCATATAGTCAAGTATCAACATAGAATAGTGAATTAATGCCTTAATATTAAGATCGATCGTTTTCTTCCAATAGTTTCTTCCAATAGTTATCGTTAAATATATCGGCGTTGTTGATAAGAATATCAAGTTCTTTAAATGCGTCGACGATTTTCCTGAATGTTTTCTCTAAATCGTCAGCCTTCGTCACGTCCCACGTAACGAAGATAGCACGACCTTTTCCAAATTCGTTCTCAAAGCCATTCTGGCCGTTCGATGTTGGCAGGTCGATCATAGCAACACTCTTTGCACTATTGCGAAACAATATTTCAGCGTACTTATAGCCTATCCTCCAGCTGCTCCATAATTATAGTTTTATTCTGTACACTATATATTTATGACTTCTTGAAGCCTTGGATAAAATGTGAACTTTAGCAAGATGTGAGATTCTTTAGCAAATTGTAGTGTCTATGTAAATGAGCGTTCTTAATTTAATAATTCTTTTTATCTTATCTTCTTGTTTAATGTCACTGCATTAATAATCAATCAATAAACTTAATTGGTGCAAAATGATAAGTTTTTTATTCATTTATACATATTCGTTTCATTACCTCAATGATATAAAGGAAGATGTTAAGTTTTGGTTGTATTTTGGCCAAAATGGAAAAGTTCCAAGAAGTACAATAAATTATATATTATATACTACTACTAGGACTACTTAACTAGGACTACTACTTAAGCGGAGTCGAGTAGTATATCGCTTATTTTGAGAAAATATCAGAAAAAGAAATGTTATCCAGCAATAAATTTATGTTATTACATATTTATTGATAAAAAATTGTTAAGGAAGACATCAAGATATTTCCAGGATTAATATTACATTGTTGCAATTATGGTAAATTGGTACAAATTTTTAAGCGATTAACAAACGACGAAGAGTTTAATAAAAGTAATCGTTTGATATATGTATTTAAATATTCACAACAAGTTCTATTGTTTAATTAAAATATCTTAATATCTTACTTAAGAACTTTTAGATTAATTGCTGTTGATGTAAATATTTTGTAACGATTTCTTTCGTGTTCCTAATATTTCCCCAAGATAAGCAATATACTATTCGACTCATGCTTAAGTAATTCCTTAATATAATATATAATCTATGCATCTTAAAACGTTTTTATTTTAGCAGAAAAATAACTAAAACCTAATATCTTTCTTTAAAAGCTAATGGAAAATCGTGTGTAACTAAGAGTTAATTATCATAGATATGATTAGTTTAATTATATAATACCATATTGTTTATTTTAATATTGGCATAATTTTATATAATAATTGATTTGATCGTAATGTAAATTGATCAAAATAAAGTAAAATAAGCAAAATAACTTATACAGGCGTACATCGCTTGGAATAATGAGGAAAGTTTACGACGTATGGCGGTTGGTCACCTTCGCTGAGCCAAGTCGCTCCGTTTTTACCGTTCTGAATCAGATTTAACACCCCAAGTGCCACGTTATCAGATGTCTGTTTCGGCATATTCTCCACACTAGCAATCTCGTTGGTTACTATAGGGCGAATAGAGTCACAAATCTTACTGTTGATGTTTATGATTAATGTTGTTGCTGTAAGGCCTGGACACATGATAATAACTCGCACTCCAGTCTTGTCATACATATTTGCCAGAGATTGGCTGAATCCCAGAACGGCATATTTCGAAGCGCCGTATATTGGAAAAAAGTGACCTGAAAAAAGGGTTTTTTGTGAGAGCTCCGAGCGCTAGATATTTCATATTAATATATAATTTACTAATATATAATTTACTATAACTTTTAATGTTATGAGTAACAATGTAAGCATCAAATATTTTTGTACGACAAAAGATTTATATCAAAATAATTTTCAAATGTGAGCGTATTTGATTTATTTAATAATTTGAAGACATTTGACATGAAGACTTAACATTTTTGTAACACTGAGAATGATCTATTATTGAAAATTCGAAATGTTTGTTGGTGTATGTAATATTACTATACTAAAAGTAAATTATACGTATATTAGTATAAAATAGCTTGGCTTATAAGTTTTTTTCATGATATTTAAATTAAATTTAAATTAAATTTTAAAATAACCTGGATCTAATGCAGCTACGGATGCAATGTTTACGATTACACCGCCTTTACCACTTTTATGCTTTCCCATATAGTTGAATGCCATCATAGAGGTGTGAATTAGTGCCTTAATATTAAGATCGATCATTTTCTCCAAATAATTATCGTTAAATATACCGGCACTGTTGATAAGAATATCAAGTCCTTTGAATGTGTCGATAACCTTTTTGAACGTCTTTTTTAAATCATCAGCCTTTGTCACGTCGCAGGCAACGAAAACAGCACGACCTTTCCCAAATTCGTTCTCCAAAGTCGCCGCCGCATTCTGGCCGTTTGATGTTGATAGATCGATCATAGCAATGCTTTTTGCACCATTACGAAGTAGTATCTCGACGAATTTATATCCTAATCCGCCAGCTGCTCCAGTGATCATTACAGTTTTATCACGTACGTCGTACATTATACTGATTTTTTGAAGATTTCGATAACGTGAGATGTAGCACGATGTGAGATTCTTGAGCGAATGACAACATACATTGTCTATATATATATATATAGAATCCACTTATTTTAATATTTCTTTTGATGATATATGAACGATGATGATTCATCAGCAAGTTTGTTCTCGATAAAAAATTTTTCATGCATGAATATGTATAAATATATATTAACATATATAAACACGCATAAATATTCATGTACATATAATAATATAATACATATTTATATATAACGAATTAAATTATATAATAAATATTCATATATAATAAATAAATTATATATGAATTATTATATATGTATAATTATATATGAAATATATCCATACGTAATATAATTAATAAGTCAAAGCTTTTTTAAATGAACAATTACAGTTATTCATAAAATAAAATTCGTTTTTTAACGAAGTAAATACAATGATATGAAGTTTTTCAAAATTCAGATATGAAGTTTTGACTTACAAAGTCTTCCTCAGTGAAATATATAACAACATTTTTATATAATCCTTTATAAAGTCAACCAACTTACAATAATAAAAATTATCGCTCTAGGCTAATCTTACATACTTATTTTTTCATTTAGATATTACGGATCAAAAAATAGGTAATTAATCAGAAGTTTGAAGTCTAAATTATAAAAGTGTGTTTTACTAATCCTTGGTTATTATCGAGAATCCAGCTCAGTCAACGATTTAAAAAATGTACAACATTCTGATTGAGAATTTTTTCAACGGCAGTTAGTCCTAATATATTCTGTATAATAAATGTCAATTTATAATTAAATTATTATAAGTATTATAATTATTATAAGTATTATAAGTTAATTGAATAATAATAAGAAATTATGTTAATAACTTACGTTAATTTAAATATAGAATAGCCTATTGAATCAAAGTCAAAAACTATGTTCTAAAACAGTTTTTGCTTGTCATACGTTTTGAAGTGGACTGATATTATCAGAGAATATATATTGTTAAGTCATAAACAAGTACGTTCAAAATTGTTACAATAAGCATATATTGTCAAGTATGTTAAAATAAGATTGATTCAATAACTCAGCATGCTTCATTAAATTTATGCCATTTTTTTATCCTTTTATGTGAATTATTTCCAAAATAGTTTTTTTTCGGAGTCTCGCGATTTAAAATTTCAATGTTTTCTTAGTCAAAGCTGTGATTGGAATCAATTATATATTTCGTGACTACTAAATGGATTTATCTAATTTTATATTGTTACGATGCTCTTTAATTCTAGTTCGAAGTCTTTTCGTTTGTCCGACATAAGAGATGTCACGATCAATTGATTTTATAAATTACATTATTATTTTCTTGATGTTGATTTTTATCTTTTTGTGTCTTTATAAACCTATTAAATTTGTTGAGTCAACGATACCCTATCATAGTTTTAGATTATATATTAGATTATATATTAATAATCTTATCTCTCGTAATTGATCTAACGTACGAAAGTAAGATTTAAAATGGTAACTGAGAGTAATAAATTCAAATACTGAAAATGAAGGTGAGACAATAACGGAAAAAAATTGTATTTCCATACATTAAATCAATTACGAATTACTTCTATCATTCAACAATTCAAACTTTTGTATAATCTTTCGTTAATGATGGTAAAGATTATGTTTAACCATATGGATAACTGTAATACGGTTGCATTACAAGTCACATCACAAGGTCACATAAGGTTTAATTTGATTTTATAATTGTAAGCTTTAAGTGTATTATCAATGTTCTTAATTGTATAGTAATTGAATGATATTGAGAAGGATCCACAGTAAGATCGAAACGTCTATTGTACATTATGTATTAATTAAATAAATTCATTATACGTGGACATTTAGTGTTCGACTCTTACATTATCATTCTCTGATTTATTTTACAAATATTGTGTGCTATTTGGGTGTGTGTATGTTATTTAGCGAGACATTTTATTGAAAATATTTTTATTAAATTTTTTTTTATTATATATTAAGTCAATTTTTTTATCATTAAGTCAAATAATTCGATTAGTCACTTGTTAAGCAAAGAAATGATATTTCAACTGAAAAATTCGTCTCATGAAAAACAACATTCGGTGATAGTCTTTTTTTAATTGTTGAAGGCATCATGCCGATTGATATTCATTTCGTTTTCCATGACATACATCTGTTTTCTGTGGCTGAACATTACTAGTGTACACTTTTGAAACTTAAAATGAGATAAGAAAGAGGATTCTAGTGTAGTCTAGTGCAGGAACAGAAAATAGACAATTTTCATCGTACATGACATCCTACGATGAATGTTGGCATGATGTCTTCAGCGGATAGAAAATATTATCACCGCACGTTGAAACTCGTTCATGATGAAATTTGTTGATAAAATTCATTGATCAAATTCATTTATAAAACGGATTTTCCATGCTTAATGAGTAAACTGGATGGCAATGTAAAATTAATTATGCTCAGTTATCAACGTCTTTTATCTAAGGACACATGATACCACATATGTGTACACATATGTGATACCACATATATGTAACAGCATATGTAACATAAAATATGCATAACAAATTTTGATACCTTGCCGGAAGTAACTGTTACAACGTCATTGTTATCTTGGCATTTGATCAAATTATACATTTTTATTAATTTATTTCTTATTTTATTAAAATAAGAATATATATATAGAGTGAGTGCAAAATATATTTGTACAAAGAAAATATTTTTTAAAAAAACTTTATTTTTAAAAAGTAAATATTATCCAGCGAAAAATCAGTCATCGAATTGATATTGAATCGATATCAATATGATGATTTCAATATTAATTTGACGTCGATTCGACGTTTAATTGACATTTTTTGCTAGGTAATTAACAATTCATAAAAAATAAACTAAACTGTATGTTTCTAAAAATTATATATACCAAAAAGATGTGTATTAATTATAGAAAATGTATCATCTGAAAAATAAGCGAAAATTAAAAATTGTATTGTTTGAATGCCAAAAAGTATTCGTACAGTCAAGAAATTTAATTTCTAAAGTCGGGAATACATGCGAAACTTGTTTGTATGTTATGTTAGAACAAAATGTATTTATTATATAAAATCTAATTAACGTTTATTCTCTACAAATAAGATTTTTTTTACAAAAAATTTCCTACGAATATTTTTTGCACTCATTGCATGTATGTTATGAAACATATAATCCACTAAGAAACTATTATAATATAATGCTGAAAGATGCGCAATAGTGACAAGGACTTATAGACCATGATTCATAGTCAAATTTTATATTCAAGACCGTCTTAAGCCTATTTTACAATGCTCTTTGTTTCTTGTTTCTTGCTTTTTTCCTCTTTGCAACCATTTTATTGACAATTGCATTTTTTGCTACGTGTTTTCTGTTCCTTCCGGTTAACTTTTATCTCGAGCAACATAAAACAAAAACTGGAGCAAAAAGAAGCAAAAAGATAAGATATAAAAGTAACAAAAAGCAGAAAACAGAAAAAATGAAAAGCATATTGTAGAGTAGGCTTTAAATATAATCTTAATTAAGAAATCACAAACTAATCAGAGGACCATATTAGCGTCTTAAGACATTACTTAAGACAATCTTGAAATAAGAACAGTCTATGAATTTGCTTATAATTTGAATATTTAGAATCGATCAGAACAAAAAGAAGAAAGAAAGAAGTTTTATGTGATTACAATCAGAATAGGCCTGTGAAAAACTCAGCCGAAATGCTTCCACCTCTTTGCTGTCTCAGTAGAGACAAATAACGTCTAAATAACAAAGGATAGACACCAGCATTCCATCTGAATCAGGTTTGTCCAACTTTGAAATATGCAACGTTGTATCAATATTGCTGCAAACTTCTGTATTTATATTTTCTATAAGAAACAAGAATGCTTGAAGAAGATCCGAATATCATTATAAATGTCACAGACAGAGGATAACAAAATAAAAACCGGTTACTATAATTGCAGATTAAAAAACGGATTCTCTTGATTCCTTCATTCTATGATGCTTATTGTTAGACAGACTTCAGGTATGTATTCTTTGTTATTTATATTCTTTTTTATTGTACCAAAATGATGGAGAGATAGGAAAGAGTTTCGGTTTATGAATCAAATTTTGGACAGGTCTGAATCAAAATATCATAAAGTCAAACTTTAATTTGTTAGATAATTGTTAATTGTAATTGAATTTCCGGCATAATATTTTTAAAATACAGCTGAATAATTTTCTTAATTATTGGACAATTTTTTTCAAATTAAAAAAAAATTTTATTAAATGTCGCTATGATTCGTCATATTGCTATTGTTTTGCTGAAACACTATATCGAAATTAAAATTGCGCAATTAATTGCGCGATTTTAGAAAAGATCAGTGTCTACATTTTTTTTATAAAAATACTCGTAAATATACTCGTATAATTGTAGATTACACATTTTACAAGATTTATATAATTTTATATATATAATTTTATAATTATAATATAATCATATAATTTTATAAATGTTGCATCGAGACAATTTATGAAATTAATAAGAATTACTAATTATGGTCTCTCGAAATTAAAATAATGTAAGATATTAGGCAAATGAGAGTTCATTGTAGTATTTAATGCACAATCATTCATTCTGTATCTAAATTATATTTTTGACTTGCTATATTCTATGTATATCTAAATTATTATAATTACACTCAAGTGTAATTATAATAATTTATGTACATATCAATGATTATGCATTACCGCACCGAACTTTCATTTGCCTAATTTCCTACATTAGTTTATGAAATTTTTTATAAAGAATTTTAGAGGAGAATCGCTTACTTAATTTCTGTATATTTCTAGATAAAAGCCTTTTCAGATAAAAGTTTCGGACATGTATACGTTTTTATCAAACAAGATAAGATTAGAGATAATAGTATTTTTTTATGCTTACAGTAAGTTTTATCTGCGATTACTTATATGCGATCTTAATTAATATTTTTCTCAAATTTTTGCATATAATTTT